TTGAAGACTTGGTGGGTGGGACGGGGGGAGGTGTGGAGAAAGGGAGTCGTATCAGAAAATAAAGCACCGAAGGGGGTCGCATTTTCGCAGCAATTTTCTCCTACGGCAGGATGTGCCCAAGGTGCAAAATTTGCACAAATCTGTTCCAAGGGGTACTTCCCCCCTCTACCCCCTCCCCCCTAATGCTCCCCTACTACATCTGCTCGGCTAAAAATGCGCTCAAAAATGCTCTACTAGTGCTGGCGCCAGTGACTTCCACTGCGGGCGCCTGGTGTTTTTGGCTTCGAACGGATGTGACATTGGCGTTCTGATTGAGGGTCAAACTGGACTCGTGACAGAATTTTAGCCAAATCTAGCGTCTGGGAAAAGTGTCGATCAGATTTTAGCCCATTTCTCGAGGACTGGGCACGGGGGGTATAGTGTCGAAAGTTCTCATCTATTTCCTATTTTCTCGCCCATTTCAAGCCAAGCAGTCTTGTTGTTAGACAAGCCGATAGCTGTTTTCTATTTGTCGCATTTACGGGACAATCTTCAGTCAATTTTTTTAGAATATTCATTCTATTCCTTTCTCTCTTCCTTTTTAAATCACTTTTAATGCCACGCCTCTTTCTTTTGCAAATTTTTACAAGCTTTTACTGGAATTGCTGGGCATTTGCCCTCTATTTCTCATTCATAACACTTTTTTCACGTTTTCCCCCCACTCAACCTTAGCCAGACACTACGTCTTAAGTATCTGTCTGTATCTTGTTTGGCTCTCAAGTGCTCTGAGCCTAATTTTTGCAGTGTTTTCCACGCTCCTATTATCTTCCATTTTCGATGTATGCCCCCTGTTTCTTTTCAAACGGTGGCTTCTGCTTTTCTCTCTTACCATTAGTTCTGCCACTTCCTTACCATTTTCTTCTTTTTTCATTTTACCCCTTTTCATTAGTGCTATTGCGTTTTCTTGTTTATACTTTTAGTTCTGTTCCACTTAATCGACTTTCCTTTATTCTGCTCTATAGCCTTCATTTGGAATCCTTTCCTTAACTGCTACGGGATTCACAATCTTCGTCGTTGCGCGATTGTTTTTTTTCCTCTTTTCCTCTCGATGTCCACTTCTATTTTCTCTTTTCCACATAATCCTTTCCCTGCATCCTTTTTCCTTTTCCTTGTTCTTCCTCGCCCTTGTTTGGGTTGTCAGCTCATTTTGGTTCATTTCTTGTTTTTCTTTCAAATGGGTTCTTGTATTTTTGCTCAAACGCTTCCAGAAATCCATCTCACTCTGTCCAACTTTTGAAAAATTCAGAGGATATTCCGGGAGGGTTATATTTCCAAAACTGGTAGTAGCGTTGTAGAGAGAGTGAACATCAAGATTGATTTTGTTCCATGCAAGTTTGTTTTGATGTGGATTACATATATGGGCTATATAACCCATATTTATGTGGGTATTTGAGTTTGATGTGGGTAACATATGGGGTTCTAAGTGTACTTTGTAATCCATATGTTCCCGCTGGTAATCCGCTCAGGACACTACTTAATATGCCCGAATATCTTTCCCATCCCGCTGCCTCCTTTCCCTCAGGCATATGTCATCGCTTCAATGGAATTCCCCCAAGAGTTCTTGCTATCGGGGAAGCCTTCAATCGGATTACGTCTACTCTCACTGATGAAATCGACCTGTTAACGAGGGAATCCTGTGGGTCTCGCCGTAATGACAGCCTAGTCTATTGTGGTAAAGTCGTGCTTTTCGAGTAGGTGCGGCTCATCTTCCCGCTCTCGTGTAATCACCCACGACAATAGGTGTTGTCGGCTTTGGCTCGGCTGAAGTAGCAGCCACCTAACTGCACCTATTCTTTAGACGGATATTTGCGCTCTTACCACCCGCTCGGGCATTTGTTTGCGTATTTGCTAATTGGCAGGCGGCTGCGCGACCGATGCCGCTATTCCATTCAACATCGCTTCCCGTACTCTCTGGCACTCGGGCCTCGTCCTCCAGAAACCCGACCCGATGGCTTGATGAACGGGGGTTTTCCAGCTGAAAAGCGATACCATGAGTGCAATCCCTATCGACCAGATTTGGGTGTAGCTAGAGGTAAGGAAGCGAGAGCACCCTTTTCCCTGAGGTGAATTCTCGCAGTTTTCCCTCTTCTAGTACGACCCCTCCCCGTTCCCGTACCACCGGCCTCAACTCTCCCAATTTGCTCCCACTTATCTAGAGAACTCTGCCTTTTTCCCCTAAAAAAGCGGACAACAGAACATCAGGAGAGAGAGGATAGGGGCTGGATGATATAGAGCGCGTGAAACGGGAAAAAATTCTGACAGTGCCCAAATGTTTCTTGTGCACGCAAAAAACATTTTCACGACAAACATGCCCCTCCCTCTCTCTCTCTCCCAAATACGACCCACGTCATGCTCTAGGATATCCTCGGCGTACGACGTCCCTGAACGAGACCTCCAGTCCGGACAGGCGTTCATTTTTAGAGCTAAGAAGTCTAGGGCCCTCTCCCTGACCATTGGTTAGGGCCCTATTGAAGTCACTTCAAATACCTGGTCTTAGTACTTCATCTGGAAAAATGAAGGCGATGGCAGAAATACTGCTGAAATATGGAAGAGGGAAAACTAAAGGATACTGACGGGGTGAATAAATCAGAATTGATTTTCTGAGAGGAGAATAATTCCCCTCCCTGAAATTTGATTTACCCGAATAGGGAGGTCCTTGGAACCTATCGCACGATGAAGAAGGGATACGAACGCAAAAGAAAAGGAAGTTAGGAAAACTGGCGGCAGAAACATTGAAATTTTCAAAACCACAAGAAATGCCGAAGGGGTAAAAAAATCAGCCACTCGCACGCGATCTCACCTATTTTCGGACGTATTTTCCTGCAAAATAGAGGAAAATCAGGAAGAACTTCAAAAGCAGGAATAGAGCGCTTCGAGAATGATTCGAAAAAATGGATTTGGGAATAAAAATGTTGGAATTGTGTTAGGGAGAGTTTCGTAAAAATCGAAACAAGCGGAATTTCCGCTGAAGGGTTGGTCTTTGGTTCTCTTGGGTAATAGTTTTCCACCTTTTACAAGCCCTAACTTCCCAGAACTATTCGCGTATTTCGCGCGGGCGTTGACCTTTACGTTGACCTTTTAGCGCTTTTCAGCCCAATTCTTCTATCCTTCCCTCTTAAAACTCGAATTGCGAGCGCCTAGAGCTCCTAACCAGCAACTAAGGCGCCGACTGAAAAGGGTTCCTTCTGAGAAATCTGGGGCCTTGACGTAATCCTCGCGGCTCTTTACGCTACATTGCACATACGGTCCGACAAATACTGTCCGTCTAATTGGATTACCACCATCATCACTACTATCGCAGCAATGCCGCGCATGACGCGATCCTCCACCCTCCTTGAATTGTCGTCAAAATGAATGAAAGGAGAGGGCTGGAACATTGCACATTACCTCGAGGGAACAATTTTCAAAATATAGCCACCTTTCGCAGACACCCATCTATAGAAACCATCCTATTAGGTAAATATTTTAGTCCGCACTTCTTGTTCCAGATATTGACATTGAGAAGGGGGAATGACTGGGTAGGACACGTCGTACGTTGGGAATCTCCAGGAGTCGTATTTGGTCGCCGGAAGGAGAGGAGGGAAGGTGTCGTACCTGCCTTTGAGAGAAACGTTTTGGTTGTTGAAGTTTCTACGTTTTTCATCTTAGCTATTATACATATATCTCCTCCTCACATTTCAGTGCCTTGAGTCAGTCCTCTCATGCAGAACTGAAGAATCGATCTGGCAAGATCGGGAAAATGTTAGCAGCGAACCAAGGAAGTCGATCGTCGGGATATTACTCAACAGATGGCGTCGTACAATTGGCGTCGCCCTGGGAAAGGGGAGTCGCATTTGGTTCAAGAAAAATCTTTTTGCTAATTGATTCTTTTCGTTCTTTAGACCCATCAAGTAGGGAGGAAGACCTATTTGCTTATTTCCATTTCACAATGCCATACCCCCCTCCCCCCTCGTTCGACAGCTCGATCTCCAGGCGGAAAGAACTGGAGGAAGGAGAGGGTTCATATCAAGCAACTTTATAGGGAGGTTGTACCGGATCAAACGAAATCCCCCCTAATGATGTGCCCTTATAGGAAGTATAGGACAGTGGTTACGTATGATGAATGCGGCCAGTGTAGAATGTTTCCGAGAAGGAGGTCTCATTTTGTAAAATTTTCCCCCAAAAGCGGGATCTGCCCTGTGGTCGTAACCAAAGAAGCAATTCCTCTTCTTCTTTCTTTACTTTTCTTTATGTTTTTTTTGCTCAAAAATCATAGTACTGCTTTCCCGGACCTTGATTCTCTAAACGTGTATCTCTCACTTTCGGAAAGAAAAAACTCTACAGAAAAGAACTTCGACTGAAATTCATTTCAGTACGCTCGATAACAAAATTATGACGTTATTATACCAAGTACTCCTGCTCATAACAGGACCCCATCCCCTCCATGGGGATTCTCAACGGTGCTTCGATTTGAAAGTATAACGGATCCATTTCAGGTTCATATCGTACTCTGAGGTGGAGTTACAATGCCGATCAGAGGACAACTCAAATTTTCCACACATGACAGCGGCGTATCTTCTCGGTGAGTGACATACATTGATCCGTTTCCATAATCAATCAATTTATTTATTTATATTTAATTATTCGATGTTCTCTTTAATTATTTATTTATTATTTTTGCTATTAATTGAGCACAAACCACGGCCTACTGCTTTACTAGGTTCTAACTGTTTGTTGGTATTGTCGAGAAATAAATAGGCCACGTGAGGGCACGACAAACGCGAGCAGACAGAAAAGAATGAGTTTTTTTTCAATACCTATACAGTATAGGCCATACGTACAAAAACCATCCCGTATAGAGGCGCGTTGCGACGATAGTCTCAAGTACGAAGTAGGGCTGTGCGACCCTCCGCATACAACGGAATCCGCCCTACAGACTCTACGTAGCGCTTTCCCAACTACCCTTATAAGCCCTATCAACTGCAACATACCTATCCATACCCTACCCTCACGTCGCCTCAACAAATGGACGACTTGTACGACACTGATGCTCTATCGCTTCATTTTGACAAGACAAAGATGCCTACGTAAACTCGTCAAAAATTGCCTTTTTTTCTTTTGCAGCTTTTGGCTGTTTACTTCCAAAACAGTTCCCACTATATAAGCGCCTTCTAGCTTTATACCGTACCAAATTATCGTGTCATATGCCTTTAAAAACACCTGCTTGCTGTGAGGGTAGATGAGCCATACAATGGAAGTTCCAGCTTACCCCAAATCCACGAGGGGGGGGGACAAAATGTGGCCATAGCACCACGTCCTCCTCATTTTTCGTAGAAAGAATCGTTTTCGAACGGGATTAACGGCAAAAACCTTGCCCTGCGGAACATGACAAAGATTGATGTGCGAAGAAGGGAAGGAAAATTGTGCAAACAAGAAATAACAACTGATTGCAAATTGGAACCAGAATAGAAATGGGGCCCACGCTAAATGGGGGAGGGGGTTTTCCGAAAATTCGGGCCAGTGGAGAAATCGAAAGTTTAGCCACGGAATGCTACAGTAGCCACAGGAGGACCGGTTATCATCAGAAAGGTATATCCTACTAATTGAATTGGCTCTTTCCATAGCGCAACGAGCAGACCCTGGGTAAGCTAATCATTGAATTTTAATCCAGAAGTGGAAAAACCTATAAATTGCTAGCACTATTCGTCCTTTACTGCCCGTCTTTCAAGACTAGTCAATTTAGATAGAATTTCTCGCAGATTTACCAGAACTTAGCCGCTCGAGAGTGAATGACTTCTCCAAAACGATTCACGCCATTGAAAAACGAATACCTTAAAATCACGAGCGCTAGCACAGATACGCTCTATACGGACATTTCGATCGAGCGAGCGCGAGAATCATGTTCAGAAGTCAAAAAGCCCTGACACATTCGGTGTTCGAAGTTACGGTACTCCCCTGTGGCATGGCCGCCAGCGTTTTCACGTTCTGTGACAACATTTAGGCATAGGCGCGTCTCTGGAGGCATCCGATAACTCTGTTCATCGTTGCGATCGCTTCCCCTTTGGGCTGTAATACTTGCACACTATACAGTTACGGGTATTCTTTGCATGCTCTTGAAAGTCTACTGGTTCAGGCCCAAAACGTGTAATTTCGTTGGAAACTAGCAAGAGAGCTAGCGAAAGCGGCAAGACGTAGCCTCGCCCAAGCGAACATCCGCGGCAATTATAAAAATTCTATAGTTTCTTTTTCTCAACTAAAAATTAAACGTGACTCTTCGTTCAGTAAATCTTAGATTTGATGCTGAAAACCTGAAAATTGCTTTAATCTCTAAAACATTAGCGACGACACTTTGGGTTCGAGCTTATCACAATCTTCAACTGCGCTACAAATTCGCGATTTGTTTCTTTTCAATGCAACGATGAGCTACCTTTGACACATCGATCGATGTCGTGGAGGAGCTGATTCTATCGGCTTGCCACATATTGGAAGAGATGCCAAGTGCATAAACGTATGTCCCTTTAAATTGGTCGTATTGGCCTTGCAAGTGCTTCTTTACTCGAAATTTTCTCCGCTGTTTGGTTTGGAGGGGGCACCAAATAGTACACAATGAAGCTGCTACAAGCGGCCGATTGCTGGAACTCTTTGTGGAGTTATTGTGATTTTGCATGAAGTATTTGAAAAAAGGGAAAGTTTTGCCTCCCCCCCTAAGGCCAAACAGCGCGGCATTTCTCCACGTTATCTCTGGCATCAGCAGTAAGTTATTGTTATAGTTATTGTTGTCATTTGTCCTATGTCAGATACTTCTTTTCAGAAATCCCGTATTCCCCTGGACGAGGAGACGTGCGAGCTGGGAGTGGGTGGCTCGATAGAGGCCGTGGAAATCGCTGTTGCTGAAGTTGACGTGAAAATCACCTCACTAAGCGGTATTGCAGACCCACGAATCCTACTCGCCGGTACTGATGACGGACAGATTCTGCAGGTGAGCTATCTGAGGACGAGTAGAGGGATGCATCTCCCACTGGGAGCTTTCGCCGAGTCATTCTGGCGCAATCTGGCGTTTTTTGTGGCGTAAATGCCATCTGGTCAGTGGCAGCAGTCCGTTGACGAACAAAGAGCGCCGGGTGTGATTTGTCCAACACATGCCATTCGGGCTATCAGTTAACGAAAACATTATGTGATTGAATCCGGAGATAGGGGGAATGGGAAAAAGACTGGGGAAAAGTCCGATAGGGGACAGGAGAAAGACTGGAAAAGTTCGACAAGGGTATGGGAGGAGTTTGGGAAAAGTTCGCGAGTGCCAGTTTGTCGTTTGACCTTCAAGAAAATCTGTTCACGAGTCTGCTATTCTTTCGCGCTCGGAGGGGGTTTCCTAGATGTTTTTCGGTAGGGTTCGGCCTGCCTGGGGAGGGGAGGCACCTTGCACTTCTGCTACTTCTCATGGCCATCTTCATTGCTTCACATGAGTTGGCAAGGCGATACGAAGTACCAAAACTGCCCAATACCCCTCCCCCCCTTTCTTAAGTCAAACGCGCCCGTTTTTCATGCGTGGACCGGAGATTGAGCTCAACTTAGTATTCTATGGGCTACGTAAGCAGTCCGCCTTGAAGTGGGGGTGGAGCGTTTTGTTAGCTTTAACTCTTGGCCCATCCGTACGAAAGTGGGCGGTATTACTGGTGGGGACACAGACCGCGAACTTGCTCAGTTCAGGAAACTATTAAAAACGGTGGCTGCGGTCCCAGCTGGGCGGTTGGGCTGCGGTCCCAGCTGGGATTCTTCACTCGAGGAGACATTGCTCTGCACCAAGGGTTAGGTTGTTTTTCCATAGCTGCTAGTGTGACGCCAGTTCGTCTACGGAGCGGCGGACTTTGGCTATTTCCCATCGACGGGAAAGATACCAGCTAAAGTTTGTCGAGACCACTTGTTAACTCTTGTAAAGCAATAAACTCGTCGGTGGGAAGTGGCTGAAGGGCGAAACGCCCCTTCGAAACCGAACTGCGCGTACATTTCTTCTGCTGAACTATATGCTGGCTTGGCTGGGTTTCCCAGAGAGCTTTAAACGCACAGGCAACTTTGCATTAGCTCAGCTCTGATTCCTGTCATGAAGTGCAAAGGAAGAGGGCCGCTAACCACTCAACCTGTCCGTGGGATCGGATCGTTGAAGGAAACGCCGGGCCAATTAACTTCCTTTTAGCCCTGGGGTATCTGGTACTTGATATGCTTATGATTTTGGGGCTATCCTGACCATCGCCATCAGGTTACTTGTAGCGCCCACGTAGCTTTCAATCACTTTTGTTTGAACAGACTGCAGACGCTCTACCGTTCCATCTCGCTCACTCGTGCGTGGCACATCACGTTAGTAATACGAGCGGATTCCCTTTGTGAGCCCGGCCCATCTTCAACCTGTCCAGTGATTCACCGACCCGAAGGAACAATTGCGCCTCCTGACGCTGCTGGTGGCGGTTTTTCTGCAGGGTGAAGAGTGCGAGGAAAGCGAAATCTGTTGTTATGAGCCTCTAGAGACATGATTTATGACGAACAAAAGATGGATTCGACGGTTGGCAGCTAACATGGATTTTGGCTGCTCGCAAAAAAGAAAGGGACAAGTTAAGGGCACAAGGGACATGCCGGGACACGACAAGTTATGCCATCGACAATGTTGCCAGTGTTTCAAGGACATCAACCCATCCCGTTAAGTGCAGCACTCGGATTGATTTCATTCTGAAGAACAAGGGCAAAGTGGCTGGTTCAATTAGAGGGTGGAATGTGAGGAAGAGGAGGTTGAATTGAAAAGGGATCCAACCAAAGGGGCCCTGTATTTATTCTATTTAATTTATTCGCTCAACTCTTTTTATACTTTCGTGGAATACAACGGATACGCAGTAATAAAATGCGGAATATGTGTAATAAGTACTTTTTTGAGCTAATAATCTTGGTCGAGGACAGAGGTAGTGTTAGTGGCAACAGGAGCGTAACCTTACGTACGGCAGGTGCAAGTCCTCGCATTAGCTGCCACATAGACTAACCAAGCCTTCTACCTCCTGGCGACGTTGAATAGGTACAATTCGTCTGCGGAGGTGAGAACACGAATTGTACATCATCTGTCCCCCCCCCCTTCCCCCTCCCCCCTCCATTGTATAGAAACATCGCATCAATAGCCGTTGCTATTCTGAGTGTAAGTAGAATGCGTAGCGCATCCCAGAAATGGAATTTCACCTACAGAGGGCTCATCCTATTTGAACCTTAGGGACATTCGAGGGACTCCTGCGATCCCACAAGGATGGATCTTTGCTCTGGAAAATTGTTCTAGGCGATTGCCATCTCAAAAGAGGATCAACGTAGGAGTTTTGCATTCCACCTTTTCACTATAGCCGTAGCCAAGAAGGAAGCATGCCTCTGGTGTAGTTTGAACTCTCTCATGCAGAGACAAGTACATTGTTTTTGCCAGATTCCTTGGAATTGCCCTTTTACATTTTAAAAGTGTTAGCTTTTTTGCCTGGAATAGTTCAATTCCTTTTTCTGCGCATGCTATGTCTCTCGTTATTCATCTTGGAAATATTCACTAGAAGCCGTGTTTGTAGTTCCGGTCAGAGCTGCTACCTGGCCGTGCCTGCTTGTGGGTGTTCTCAAAGATTTATTAGCATTACGTTCGGATGACGACCATGGAACGAATAGTGTTGTTTTTTAGTCACTACTTAGCTGTTTTCAGCCTCAAATAAAATATATGGCCGGCAGGTCTTACCAAACTGTGAGATCACCTCTTAGCTTACAACCAACTTGGGGCTCGATCACAGTCGGGTTTCTTTTTCCTTCCACGGACAAGATCATGAAATAGCCGAAAGTTGCGGAACTTCGTGATTTGCCCTGTACAGACTTGGTTTCCCTGTAAATGAGGAGGGCCAGTCAAGGGTCCGCAAGAGTGGCTACTGAGTGGTGTAGATCAGCTGTTCAACTTCTCAAAGTAATTTTCTTGGCAAGAATGTCGCTGTTCGACTTGGAGGGGCATTGCCCTTTGCTAGTTGGCTTTGTTATTTCATGTTAACCACAGCCTCACTTTGGTATTGATCTGTACTTTTGAATCTTGTGTGAGTGAGCGTGCTTCAGTATATAGATTTCATGATCCAACAGAAGCGTACTGTGCAGATGCTCAAATGAGGCCACCTGGTGCCCATATTAAGCCAAATACCCGTAAGTTTAGTGGTTCATTTACTAGTTGCCACCTTCTCATGTTGGGTTGGGAAATGACGACAATGCAATACAGGTTGTGATATGATTTGATGGGATTTTTAGTGAGTTAGTAGGGTGGAAGTTAATTAATCCATCATCAGGGAGGCGGGGGGGGCAAAGAACCTGATGATAGTCAGTCTGTATCTCGCTCCTTGTGAGCTTAGTCATATAATTGGGAAACCACCTTCATTAAGGCTTTGAGAATCCAAACACCTATTACGGCGAACGAATCAATTAGACGCCAGTTCATAAATAATTCTCTTCAGTTCGGTGGCTATTGTTCCCAACACGGAAAGCTTCTTCCCGTTCGTTTTAGATGTGTGAATAGACCTCAATGACAGCAGCCGCTTCCGTTGAGGGTTGTTTGTCGCGTTGACCAGTTCGTCGACCTCTGAATCGTTGTCTCCCTTCATTCAAAGGGATACGCCGGCTCATTGAAAATCGGATTCGACGAGTTCGTTCAGGTCGCCAGTGAATTGTCGAAACGTGACTGGATGGGCAGGGGTCGTAAAAAGAGATTAGGTAGCTTCTTGCCTGGGAACGCATGAGCATTTGAGCAGTTCGTTCAAGATGCGCATGCATGCGAACATCGCTCAGAACGACACGCTCGTTTTTATTTGAGCCGAGGGCATTGGATTTCATGCAACCTCCGAATACGATAGAAAAGTTTTCAAACTCACGGTCCCATCGATCGACCGATACCTACTGGGGTTTACTAGTCTGCGAGAGAAATTTGCCTTTCTGAAGTGTACAGCGTTCTTGGGTGCGTATTAGTTCTCAAGGGTACCCCCGACTTTTCGGAGCCTGAAGAACGTGCGATGGAAGCCGGTGACGTAGACGAGGCTGAACTCTGTAACGACACTGTGAAAAGGCTAAGTAAAGACATTTTCGTTTTTTTTTGCGAACGTAGTTTAAGCTTCCAGTTTGCGTCTTTAAAAGCCTCCACAAGATTGCTGTATTGTTCAGAAGTCTTGTCCCCAGTGGGACTCGAAATCGCACTCCAGCGAGTGGCTAAGAAATTTGTTTTGTTCAAATTCGGGCCATCTTAGAACTCTAGAAGGCAGAACCAGGTCATTGTAACGTCTGAAGACGGTGCGAGATAGATTTGTCACTGCCCAAATGACCTTGGCTGACGTGGGCCAGATACTGAGCCAGATCAGAGTTTCCAAACATTCCGGTGAAATTCGGACTAATTATTTGACCATGGAAAACCGGAAGGTTTGGTGGGCTTGAGCAAAGTTCAATCCGAAGTTAGAATGAGGAACTGGGCGTATAGTAAGCAGCTCCATTTGCCAATACTCTGCCATCGCTCGATCAAAAACCATCAGATGAGGAATGCTTAAGCTTTGTGTCGCCAGTAGATTGCTCTACTGGTACTAAATGGCGGCCATTTTAGGCTGGGTGGGGCAGTCAGAGAATGGCTACCCTAGCCTAACTCCAGCTGTAAATGACTCTGGATTCCTGGGACCGAACTCTTCACTTGGACAATTTCGCATCTTCCCACGAGTCTACAGGTCTGAGCAAAGTGAGGCCTGTTAGTTAACATGTACTGGACAAAAGGAACTAGCCAAAGTGCGAAATGCCCCTTCAAGCCGAACAGCGCTCTACCTGAACTAACATTCATGAATAAAACCCTAGGCGAGCGGAAAGTTTCGGTAGGTTGTAAACGCGCATCATGAGGAAGCGGCCGCGTCATTTTCATTTTCGATAAGTTGAAGATTTCTAGGATTTCGATGTGGTCATCCTCCCAGTCAGGTTAATCCTGGAACGCCTTCCTAAACTCCCAGATTTGACTGGACGTGACTGTGCCTCCAGGATGACTCGGCTTCATTCTTTCCATTCTCTCTTCTTCAACTGCCTTTACACCTAATTTCAGTTCAAATCCAAATCACCAGCTCAATTGGAGGAATACGATCGAAGGAATGTTGGTGATGGTCGAATGGGTTTCCAGGTTCAGCAGCTCGACGTTCGCCCAAGCCAACATTTTCGCCGTTCTTCCTAAAGGAGTGAGTTCTTCGGGTTATCGCGTTCCTCATAAAATGACACTTTGCAGTTTTGAGGTTCCGGTTTCTGTCATGCGTGTGCAAAACTGCGTTAAAGTTCCGGTTTTCCCATTTCTACGGCGCGTTAATGTGCTATGCCGTACATTTACGGGTTTTCGCATTCGAATAAGTGCAACGGCGTTTTGCTTTCCGCTACTAACCGACCAGTTCTCTAGGTTTTTCCTTTCCGCCTTGTGGAGTTTATTACTGGCAAAAGCGCAAGCTGGCCGTAAGACGGGGCGTTCGCTGACACCTCGTCGAGGGTCGATTGCTTCCGGTTGTAAAAATCAGCTGGCGTCGAGATAATAAACTATGTCTGCCACGACTAGACGAGATTAATGACTTGACGCATTGGGACTGAGCGCTCGTAAATGGAATGACGGAAGAATGGGTCAGTGGGTGAAGCTTGGAAGGCTCTTCGTCCAACAAACAAAGCCTTAGGGATCTTATTTGCGCGAAATGATTTTCAAAAAGACCCTTACCTCATTTGAGTCCATGAAAGATTTCGCAGATGTCCCCCTCCCCCATTCGGATCTTTGAGGGGGAAAAAACATCGGAACTCTGATGTATACTACGCGATTATCAGAAGGGCGAGGCTCGTAATAATTATGTCTTTCTTACTCCCTCCCTTCTAATAACGCCACTCTCGTTGGGGATATCCAGCGAGAGGGGTCTTATTCGGTCGCTGGAGAGAAGGGGATCGTACTTGCCTTTGGAAAAATGGTAAGTGTGACCCACTTCTCTCCAGCGACCTGTTTTCGGTTGTTGGCTTTTCTTGATTTTTTCCAAGTCACATGCGCTATATGTCCGCCCTACCCTGCTAGACGAAGCCAGTTTTTCTTTTTTTTTTTTACTTATAGGCGCCAAACTCCTATCTACCCTTTTATCTTTTTCTTTCTCTTATGCATGAATTTATGGGTAATCCCCGGAAAAAAACGGATAGTGGAGAGAATGTAGGGAAGTTGTTTTCGTCGCGGATGAAGCTGAAGCTGCTTTGCCACGGGAGCGTAGAGATGGCGTCGTATTACGTCCTGGCTCCCCGCTAAGTAGGTTTTCTGGAGGGGAAAGTTGAGGTCCCGGAAAGAACTGCGGAAAAGTGGTAGGTAGTTGGGAAAAAATTAAGGAAGAAAGGGAGTAGTACCAAAGGGGGAATTCGGAGGGATGGTCCTACTTTGCGAATATTTTTTGCCCACCCAACCGTGGACGTTCCCTGGTTCTATATCGGTGATAAGAGCTATTTTTCATTATGGACAGGGGCGCAGTGATAATTCGTCTAACATTGCAGAAGGAATCAAGCAAATTGTCACTGAGTAATTGTGATTACTAATGAAATGTAATATTGTAATAATTAACAGTTGGTAATTCAGATCGTTTCGCTGCCCATTTCGTCCTGCCACATGATCACAACCTGCTCAGAATGTGTTGCATCACCCGATCCAATGTGTCAGTGGTGTCCTGCAGCCGGCAAGTGCACAACCGCAGTGCACTGCTCTTCACCGTCTGTGAGTTGAAGTACCGTACACTTGACGCATTTTTGCACAATTTGGAGTAGCATTTCAAGACGGCGGTGATAGGGGCAAGTGGCTCCTTACCACACGCGCGGGCTTAGGGATGAAATTCTGAGTCGGCTTTCGTCCAGATCAAGCAAGCTTTCTACCCTCTGAGGGAGGTGAATTGGTACCAGATTTACCCCTGTTCTAAATCGATCCTATGGCGTTTTTCGTGCGAAGGTCAGGGCATTGCGTAATAGATAAATCCTCGATTCAGGGAATCGTTTCTGAGTAGTCGCAAAGGGGTCGAAAATTAAGAGGGTTAAGCTGGGAATTTTGGGGAAAATGGAGATCCTTGCTGTAACGTATATTGCTTCCCCTCCCATCGAGGTAAAATTTGTGAATTGTAGGTAAAGGGAGTGAAGGAGAGAATAGAGTTGGATTTCGGGCCTGGGGAACGGTACAGGATGCGGAAGCGCTTGGGCGCCGAACTTACGCCCTTCTTACAAGCGGCTCTGTCTCCTGCTTCGTTGGCTTTTTCCTGGAATCCTGGAATCCCCTTTGAAATGATGCAGTTCATAGTAAGTTTGCCAGTTCATGGATATTCAGGTGAGCGTCTGTCCGCTACAGAATGGCCCGCCGTCACCTGCATCACTCTCGATTGATGATCTTCGAAATATATCTCTTCCCATCAAACATCTCCCTCAACCTGATGGCTTTGTGAGTTTTTACCTCTTATTCCGTTTCATTTTTGGCACAAAATATTGACAACAGGAAATGAATTTCATGAGGCTGAGATTGTATAGTGACAAGTGGGGCGCTCACCATTCGCGCGGTCCCGGGTTCGAATCCCGGGTCGACTCCCGCCCAGGCCAACCAAGCCTTCTACCCTCCGGGGACGGTGAATTGGTACCAGATTCGTCTGGGAGGATAAACACTGACTTGTACATCGGCTGGCCACCGCAAGTCATTGTATAGGCCACATCGCATTCAATAAGCCACTACGATTCTGAATGGAAGTAGAATGCGTGTCGCATCCCACAAAGGGATTGATCAACGGCGAAGACTCTATTCCTTATCCTTTATCCCGTTTCATAGAAGACTTTCTCAGCAAATAGTAAACTAATCAGAGGCGTTCCGTAGGAATCCACACCTACGTTTTCTTCATCGCCGTTTTTTATACAGTCCTTATCACTGCGAATGCTGGGGCGTGTCAGGGGTGGAGGCGAGCTGGGTTCGGACTCGGGCGCCTACTCCGTTTACCCCTATGGTTAGTCGCTTTCCTCTCTTCTTGATAGCAGAATTGCTAATGCTACGCCATTTCCTCCCACCTGGCGCGCCACGGCATCTGCAGCGAACAAGACTGCACGTAATGAGAAGAAAGGCATTCATTTGGAAGACATTTTTAATGTTCCAACGTGTCCTATGCCTGCTAATTTTTGCCCACGCCTTCCTTTTCAACAAGCTGCGACACAATTTTCCAGAGCAGATTTACTTTCCGTCCGCAGGTGTTTTCTGCCCTTTTAAAGTTGTATGTAAGGCAAGTAAAACGTCACAAATGATCTGCGGTCGACATGATTGACGGATGGCTTGTTAAGATCACATTGTAACCCTATAGGTGTGAGTGATCAACCACTCCACCTTCTTCATAGGAATTGCGCCTCTTTTTCCCTCTCATAATGGAAGGCTGATGCACAGGCGGAGACGGGCCAATGAGGGAATCGTAAAATGCCGCTCCGCCGCGCGAGTGAGGTGACGACAGGCGTCTGTTCGGCGAGCGAGGGGGGGCCATTTGGCCTTTCTTGCGGCGCTTCACTAGTTCCGGGTAACCTTCTCGACTCTGCGCTGAACCCGTGTGAACTCTCCTGGAGCAACCCTCGTCTAGCCCACGCACGATAAACTGTCAAGCTCTCGTGAGGCTCTCTCTATGGCTCGACACGTCTATGAGAAGTGGCAACAGTGCAAAATGCCTACCCGTCGCCGAACTGCGCCCACTTATGTCCATTTTTGGTCCAATGCCATGCCTATTCTCCAATACAGCCTAGCAATGCGTCGTCATTTGCAGGCGCGATGTCGCATGCGACGTCCACTGGCGCGGCGAATTACGGTTCTCTTGCCACATACCCATGCATCAATAGCGAAATGTGAGCGGCTGGACTGGTTTATGCCCAAAGCAAATAGCGTCTTCAGAGACAAAAATCCTCCTGTCAAAACTATTCCAGGTTAGGTGAGGCAGGGCTTTCTTATTATGCCCGGACTATCATATTTGCAAGGAGCGTCCCACATTTATCTGCTTGAGCCCCGCCCCTGCATGATACTCGAGATCCCCTGAGATCGGCGGCGGGGGCGGGGGGGGGGGCTGGGGGCTGCCATCTTTAACTTAATGTGAAAGTGGCTATGCTTCTGGTGGAATATTTTCATCTTGGCACAATAGTTGTCGTGTCTCTGCCCAACACAGAACAAGATGACAGTTGTTCCAGATTGGAATATTCCACGAGTAACCAGTTCCGTGCCATGTTCAAATGCCACGCCTACTCTGGCTCAGGGATAAGGAGTGTATTCATTCTTTGTATTTCATCGCAAGGTCTGCGGTTAAAGAAGGGTGTAGTGCTCCCTTGAGCTATTTCAATTCAAATTCTAGTATACACATCCCATTCAAAGAAAGTGTGACTTTAGGTCAATATAACGAGCTAAATGAAGGGAATTTCAGTCATACGTGTGCATATTTGGTTCTTCGTCAAGTGCGGCCTCATGGACGCAGCAGGGCGTCTCCTGCGCTCTCCCATCACTTCGCTCGTCATCAGATCTGCCTTCGTCACTTACAGAACTTCTTGCACTCAGCACATCCACCAGTTCCTACCGTATCGTCGAATACAACTTCACTATTTACAACTGCGGTGCTTTCATGACGTGAGTTTGATAGTCAGTTCTTGCCAGTCCTTAGTAAAGATAAACATGGAATTCTGTTCATCTCACATGCATTCAGTTTCTCGGTCTCTTTTATGTTTGCCAGTTGTGCTACTTACGCATCACTGACCGCGCCGCCGCCGCTGCGCGTCGCGAGACGGCAAAAAAAATTGATCATTTGGGAGTGCTCCAAAGGTTGACTATTAGCTGAAAAAGTTGCCAGCCATATCACAGCTAAAAAAACGAAAGCAAGTGAAGACAGAAGATCACTTTGAAAGAATAACTATTTTTTTGCTGAAGCGATACATCAACCGCTCCGCAACCGCTCGCGGCGCCAACCATCTGAACCCATTGAATCGTTCTAAAATTTTCTTAGGTAGTCTTGGTCCAAATTTACTCAAATAAAACCTACAAACCGCGGTTTTTAGATGGTTCATTCGTGTAGTAGCGCTCATGAGACGGTTGTGATGGTTGTATTGAATCGCAACAAGCAGTGCTTCTCGAGGTGGAAAATGCCAGTGCGGTGCTAGGTCTTTTATTCTATTTTTCCTGGTCTCGCCAAAAAATATAATTCTGTTTCTAGCAAAAAGCCAACTGATATGTGTTGCACATCAAGCAGCCCATTTCACAGTTAGATGATACCAATATGCGGACTTCACAGGAAATTAGCTTGCCTGCCTAGCTCATTTAGACCGTCTGCCTAGGGAAGAGAGTCTATTCATGTCGAAAGTGTCCTGACGTGCCCACCCACGTGCCACTCCAAGGCCAGGATTCGCCGAGGTGCAGCTCTTTCGGCTTCAGGGCCACCCTTTTATATGGTGGCGGTCGGCTGTCCGCCGCCAGGCGCATATTCAGCAAGGCTGAAATGAGCGCGCCTATAGTACTGGTCGATCCAGGAAAAAAGAACCAGTGGTAGAATACACCGCGATTGGGCTCATTCCACGCCCTTTGACAAGCGCTCCCCGTTTGATTTGTGTGTGATATTCAGGGATACAATTTACCATTCTCTTGCGCTTTACGCGTACTCATGGTGGTTCTGCTTTGGGCCCTCTTGACACTGCGTAGCGTGACAGCCTTGGGATCAGACGTTGTTCAAGTTCACCTTGCCACTAGGCTTCCTCTATTGCCCACGTGATCTTGCTTTACGGTACTCATGGTGGTCTAGCTTTGAGGCTCTTGACCTGGGTGACAGCCCTGGATCAGACGTTGTCCAAGTTCACCTGCCATTAGGCTTCCTTATGCCCACGTGATTCTGCTTAATGAATTGATCTCCTATCAGGAAATTTCCACCGGTCTCGAGTTTGAGCCAGTAGTAATGCTGTTCCTACCTAATTGTTGTAGATGATTCTGGGGCAGGGCATGTCGTACGGTGGGGAGTCTCCAGCGGGACTTATTTAGTCGCTGGAGGAAGAGAATAGTACCGGAGAAGGAAGTTGGGGGGTCGTATTTCGCAGAAGTTGTTTCAAGCGGGAGGACACAAGCCCTGTTCTGGAGGCAGCCTTTCATTCACTTTCCATATGTTTCACCTTATTTTTAACATTCATTTCTGATTCGTCCTTTATCTTACAGTGAATTTTTAGTCATCGGTGAAATGCGAGGCAATGAAGCTCAACTACCTTCGATGCGCTGCCAAATGTTACTGCTCCCCTTGAGTTCATGCAAGGAACGGACGTGATCGACAGCACTGAAGGTTCGTCTTCGTGACGTTGACAGAGTGGAGCTTTGCTTCAGCGTGGGGAGTGGCAGGGGGGGGGGAAGGGATAACCCGCTCCTTTTCGATGTGAGTCTTACTGAAGGACTCACATAAGTGTCCCAATATCACCTTAGTTTTTTCAATATATTTGGCCCGAATGCTGGAAAAACATAGAACTTCAATAGACCGTCGGGCTTATCCAAGAACAGCTATCGAACGATTCACGAGGCCAACTAATAAATATATTTCGGAGGCAGTTCGGCTCGGTGGGGTCACCAAATGACACTTAATGTTAGCAAAACTACGTAACTTGTCACCTGTAAATTCCTGTCACCAATGTGGCTTACTTGTGCCAATTCGCAGCTTCACAGAATTGACAAGTCTCACTAAAGTGTTTCTGTCAATTGAAGTGAACTAGAAATAGGAAGTAGCAAAAATGCTAAATCCCCCCTCTTAAGCCGTACAGCGCCGAATTTTGCGAAAGTTACAGTAAACTGACGGTTTGCGGCGCAGCAGTCTGCTGCACTCCACGGATTGAGCACAAATTAAGGACGTTACTCCATTACTGTACCTTTTGAGGATTCCATTAGTTGATTCGATGATTCGCCACTAACTAGCGTACTTCTGTGACAGTGCGTTTCCCCGTACCAACAAATGGACCCTGGGCTATAAAAAAGGCGACTACCTAGAAAAGTTGGGCCACTAAAAAATTGTTCTACCTCGAAACCTTGGAATGCACAATAGCATCAATAAAGCCAATATGTTAGAGTTACAGCCGGTTCCGAACCCCTCCTCCTCCTCCTCCTCTACTCGCTGGCCATCTATTTGAACATTGGGTCATCAATCCCACCGTTAACTCCCGCCCACAGCTTCTCGAAAGTTGCAGCTCCATGTACACTAATTCCAGTTCCTTACAGTGCTGATATACTCCTGCTCCCTGTTGGCCGCCGACTGCTCGTCATGTGTGTTCGCCTCAGCTACGTGGGGATGCTCGTGGTGCAGTGGACGTTGCTCTCACGACTGTCCTCAGCCACCTCAAGATGTCGTCTGCGATCGACCACAGATCATTTCGGTTCGTTGCGCTTTCTCTAATTCAATTATCCAAGGCAACGTTGCCGATTCGACGCGTCCTAGGCAAACAAAGCGACTTATTTCCTGACTCTCGGGAAGGGAAGGG